AACTTTGAGAAAGCATGTTGAGGTGTTTATAAATTTACCTATGGGAGAGAATTTGCAGTATTTGGGGGTCTGGCACAGTTACTGCTTTTCATTAGCTTAACTAGAACTCATTTTCACAACTGGGATCTTAGAGAATGTGTATTTTGGGACAATCAAATTTTAAATAGAAGATAAAAGTTTTAGATATATAATAGCTTAAAGACAATATTTTTTAAAGTTTTTTCATAGATTATTATTTAAAATAAAGTTTCAACTGATAAATACAAATGACTAAATACATTTTCATGTATGTCAGTTTACGTCAACAGACATTGTTAGGTACTCTTCAGCTAATTAAACAACCATTCCACTTTTGAACACCTCATTTTTAATCTTCTATATTTATTTGACCATTTCCTACTGAAAGTTGAGTATCACAATTTATATAAAGTCTGCTTTCATGAGAACTCCTTGTGATCAAATAATGTTTTCATGTTAAAGACTAGCATATTAAGCCACGTTAAAAGAGGAATGGTAAGAATGTTTAACCAAGTTTGGAAATTCGGCAGTAGCTTAGACTAAAAAAAGCTGTTCTAACAGAGGGCCAGTTAAATACCCCAAGTCTGAAGAATACTTTTAAAGCTCAGATTCATTATTCAAAGAAAAAGTAATAAAACTATGTAAAATTTAATGTGTGGAAACATTTAAAATTCCATCATTTGAAAGAGTAACCTGGAATAATATACCAAGTGTTCTAATTTGGAACCAAGACAATTACACTATTTTAGGTAAACCAAAAGCCCTTATTTAATAAAAATCTCTATTAGGATAATGGGATTATTTTTAACTCTTGTAAACAAAAAAACACAACAACAAAACAAGAACAGGACTAAAGCAAGGACATTCATTAATTCAAGTAAGGCAATGAAATAGAAGATCAAAAATCTGAAACATTTACTCTCTGTATCAAAGTACATTAAAAAAAAAGCAAACCATAAAGATTCTTAATTGAGTATTAGCCTGTGGAAGTCTAAGAGGCTAACAGAATCTTAAATCTCAAAAGCATCTCAGAGATTGTGTCAGTTATTAAGCTATTGTCTTTTAGAAGTCCAAACCCAGACTTCTACGTTATACTTTCTGACGCCAGGGCTGAGACCTTGTAAACCACGTTTCTGTTTTGCCAGCTGCCTCCATGTTGGATTCTGCTGAAAAGGAATCCTAGAAGGAGAAAGAATCAACTTGTTCCTTCAGTCCGCATCTCATTTGCTTCCTCCAGGCTTCTTCGGTAAGCCATTCTTGTTAGCATTGTCCCAACACTTCTTCAGCCCAGCAGCAAAACCCTTCCATAATAACATGTGAATGTAGTTTGCAGTTTGTGCAACACCTGCCAAACCAATCCTTATCTTATCCTCCTGGTAGTTGTGGTGTCTTACTATTCTCCTTTCCCCTTTTCAGTTTTCTATTTAGCTTTATGCCAAATTCTTAATTCCTAATATTAAATTCTCTTTTTAAATAACTAATACGGGTTCTGTCCTCTGACTAAACCTGGTCTGACTGATCACCTGTCCAGTAGTTCCAAAAGGAAATGGTGCTATCAAAGTCATCAATATGAAAAAAACATTATTTTCATAAAACAAATGTTAACCAAATATTCTTGGTTCCTAGGCATACACAGAAGAGAGTGATTCTCAACCAGAGCAGAATGGAGATTATGGGGCTGAGATGGGGACTTACATTAACCAAAAGTTTAGAAACACCAAGTCAAGTCCAACCCTTTCATAATATAAAGGAACCTATGAACTTACCCTCTATGGAAAAAAAAAACTGCAGATATGGTTAAGAATCTGGGTGGGCCCTAAATGTAATCGCATGTATTTTTATAAGACACAGACAGAGGGAGACACACACAGAAGTGGAGAAGTCTACGTGACTACAGAGGCAGAGACTGGAGTGATGCAACCACAAGGTAAGAAACACCAGCAGTCACCAAATGCTGGCAGAAACCAGAAGAGGCAAGAAACAGATTCTCCCTCAGACACTCTGGTTGCAGCATGGTCCAGAACCTTTTGTAAAAGAATGAATTTTGATTGTTTTAAGCAACCAAGTTTGCAGTAATTTGTTAAGCAGCCCTAGGAAACTAATATAAGGATATTAAACAAAAACTTTATGGAATGCATGGCATTTTAAGAATGGCAGGTAGGATTTACATATACAGTGACTGTAAAGAAAAAAAAGAAAAGGGGAAGGCAAAGTGAGCATTAGAGATGAAGAGAAAATGCAGTGAGACAGAAAATCAAGGGAGTTGTACAAGGTAAAAACAAAGTAGTTCAATTAGGCAAGTGTATATGCCACTTGGAAGTAATGATACGTTACTGAAGATTTTAAATGCCAGCCTAAGAAGTCTGAACTTTAAGAAGTTTGAGCTTTAATTTCTGGACAGTCAAGATCTCTGCAGCTTGTGAGGACAAGCCCCGTATGTGGAGGGGAGAGGGGTAGGAGACAGAGTAGGGAAGGAAGAAATAATGATGTGATAAATCCTTTGCATACCTCTTATACTATTCTCTAACTTATTACTCATATTCTTCCACCACAAGGCTTAAGGGTTGGGATTGAGTTTCCCCAAGATCGAGAAAAAATTCTGACATACAGATAAACAGTAAATGAGTGAATGAAGAATATTGTGCATTTTTTGTTTGTCATTACTAAGCATGGTATGGTAGAGTAGAGCAGAATACTGAACAGTACTTGAATCACTTTTACTCTTCAAAGGATTGAATAAGATGTTTTAAAAATAGATGTATATTAATATTGAAAGTATAAAATATTTGGGCTCAGTGTGATTATCCCCAGGGAATACGCCAGAACCAAGACAGCAATTCTAGCCAAATCCAATCAATTAGTGGTGGTTGCCTGGAGCAGAGTTAAGAAGTAAGCTAAGGTTTGTGTCACAATAGATTAATAATGTCTGCTAAAGTGTTAGATTATAAATAGACCCCAAATGACTCGTGTTTCTCATCCCATTCTTGCTCCATAAGTTAGTCATTTGGTTTCCTTAAAAACTTTTTATTTTTTAAAATAAATTTATTTATTTTATTCATTTATTTGGGGCTGCAATGGATCCTCGTTGCTGCACACAGGTTTTCTCTACTTGCAGTGAGTGGGGGCTACTCTTCGGTGTGGTGCACAGGCTTCTCATTGCAGTGGCTTCTCTGGTTGCAGAGTATGGGCTCTAGGCACGCGGGCTTCAGTAGTTGTGACACACGGGCTCAGTAGTTGTGGCTCACAGGCTCAGTAGTTATGGCACACAGGCTCTAGAACGCAGGCTCAGTAGTTGTGGCACACGGGCTTAGTTGCTCCACAGCATGCGGGATCTTCCCGGACCAGGGGTTGAACCCGTGTCCCCTGCATTGGCAGGCTGATTCTTAACCACTGCACCACCAGGGAAATCCCAAAACTTTTCAATTTTATGTCTTATGTGAATTACAGAAAAAAAATTCCATTTCAATGAAGATTTCCATTAGTTGAGCTTGGTTAACCAAAAATTTACTGAATTCAAGTAAAAAAGAAGGCAAAGGTTGTGTTGAGGGAATAGAGGGTTGCTCTGCTTTCTTTATTCTCTATTTCAGAATATTAACTATCCTGGCTTTAAAGATAGGGCAGATTCAACTGCCTGCCTTAGAATTCCAGTGCATGTTTTATTAAAGGGCTAGTTCTGTGTCTGGACAGAGCAACATACCCAGTGGGGGCTTTGAGAAGAGGAAAATCAGCACACGCGTCAGTGAAAAACCGGAGGCGGGGGAAGGACAGGAACTCTTTGTAAAGACTGATTTCCAAAGTTTATACTAAAAGTTTTGAGGCTAGACCCAGGGAGAGGCTGAACAGCAGTGGCCCACAAACCTCCGCGAGCAAATGCAGCACCCTCACCTCACGTGAGTAGCTAACCAAAATAACTGCCTTTTTTTTTTTTCCTGCGGTACGCGGGCCTCTCACTGTTGTGGCCTCTCCCGTTGCGGAGCACAGGCTCCGGACGCGCAGGCTCAGCGGCCATGGCTCACGGGCCTAGCCACTCCGCAGCATGTGGGATCCTCCCGGACCGGGGCACGAACCCGTGTCCCCTGCGTCAGCAGGCGGACTCCCAACCACTGCAACACCAGGTAAGCCCATGCCTTCTAAAGGTTTAAAATATAGTTCATGAAACGAGATATAAATGCAAACATTATCATACAAGTTTTGTTATACTTGTTGTAAGAAAGTAGAGTACGCACCCTCTTTGTCGGGGTGCAAGCTGTTTACGGTCCCGCTCCGGCTACATTTTTGTTGACGTAGGTTGGAGTCCCAGGGCGGGTGTCGGCAGTTCTCCTAAAGCCCTTAAATCGGGTCCTCAATTGACAACCCACGTAGGTAAGCTCAGAAACGTCAAAATGCGCACTTTTTCTGGAAAAGCGCGGGAGAGACGCCGGCTACAGCCCCGCCCCCACACGTCACTCCAGGCTCCACCCCCCAGCAGGCGCAGGCGCAGGCGCACTCCGGAGTCTCGGGGACCAACTTAAACCAAGTAGTGAGCAGATGCCAGAGTTCTTTAACCACATCTGCCCCTGTCCTGAGCATGCGCAGTTAGACAGGGGCCTGCTAGTGTGGTTACTCTATTTCTAATCTCCTGGATTGTCCGGCGTCCGGCTCAGGTTCATTTTCTCCATCTCTTAGTGGAAGTCACTTCGCCTAAAGTAGGAGTTGCTGTTAAACGTGCTCCTCCCATTAAACTACCACTCTGCTCTTAGAGGCGGGTCGCATCCTTCAGGCAGCCGGTCCTGACAGATATGAAAAATAAATGGCGTATGATAGAGAGCACTTAGAGTCCGCCGACTAAGCCACATAACAAAATCACTTTACAAAAAAATACTCTGCTTTGTTCCGTACTATATGCTTCATAAGACTCAGAAGACGTTTTATTGCCCCCAAGTCAGTGAGAACGGTACCTCTTTTTAGTAACAAGGACCTGTAGTATAAGCTGCGCAGGCGCGAGCCGCCCGGCCGCTGTGAGGCGCGGGAGAAGCAAGAGTGCCAGCTTTCCTATCGCTGTCTGATTGTTGAAACAGGATTCTGGCCTGGGTCCGGGGCCGCCATGGGGAAGGTGAATGTGGCCAAGTTGCGTTACATGAGCCGGGATGACTTCAGGGTCCTGACCGCGGTAAGAAGTTCGCCATTTTTCCCTCTCCCCTGACCTTTTCTACCGCGCGTGCTCTTCCTCTTCCTCCAAGTTTGCTGGGAGCCGAGCGCGCTTTAGGCCCTGGAACGCGGCCGAGGTTGGGAATGGGGAAAAGACCGGACAGTCGGATTTTTCAAAAGCCTTTGTTCAGAAGCTTTTTATCTTCCCCCACGTAAAGCAAAGACCCCTCTTTTCCTTCCTATTTTGCTCCCCTTCTCCAGAGCCACATCGAATCTCTGTAGCCTGGGAAGCTTCTCTGATCCTGGGCTTCTGACCAGCTGAGAAGGGTTTAAGAATCCTGAAGAGTAATTGATAGCATTGAGTTCCCTACTCACAGATTGAGTCACATAGCATTCCTTCAGTTTCATTCAATCCACACATACTTATCGGATATGTAGTAACTGTTTTAGAGAATTCCACGGGTTACAGGACAGACAAGACGAAGGAGGCAAATCATCAAGTAAACGAATAAATAAGGGATAATATGAAGATAATAAGTCCTATGAAGATGATAAAGCGAATAACGGAATAGAGACCCCTCATGGTGGAGGCAGGGAGCCTGAATACTGTTTTTAAATTGTTTAGTCAGAGAAGACTGCCCGAGTGCAAGAATCTTGTCTGTTTTTATAAAGTTCCTGGTATTTGGTAGGTACTGAATAAATATTTGCTAAGTAAAAGAAAGAATGCGGGGCGGGCATAACAGCTGAATGAGAAGGAGCTGGTCCAGTGAAGTCCTTGGAAAGAATTGAAGGGAGAGGAAGCTACAGTGGTGAGTGCAAAGGCCCCAAGGCAGGAACAATTTCTGAAGACTAGAAAGGCCAGTGTGGCTGGAGCATAGTGAGCAAGAGACTGAAGAGTTGGAGATGTAACTGGGAAAGGTGAGAGCCAGATCATGTGCTATAGATAGTCATGCAGGCTTGGTAAAGAATTTTGAATATATTCTAAGTATAGGGGAGCCACTGAATGTTGTTAAGCAAGGAAGTGACAAAAACGGATTTTATGGTCTTAGTCTTATAGCACAAAGATCAACACATAGATTAGGCATTTGCAGAATAAAACACATTTATTTAGGAGCTATTATTTTTTGCTTAAATAGGCATTTCTTAAGGAATAAACTATCAAATGCAAATTCAGTGTAAAATTTGGAAGACACTTCTTTCTCCTCCCATAGATTCTGAAATTCAGCCACACTTTCTCTAAATACCTACTGTCAAAAGATACCTTCCTTCTCTACTTCCTCAGCACATTAACTCACTCCTTAATGCCTCTGACAGAAATAGGGGAGTCAAGAGAATGTTAGAGGCTGGGAGAAACAGAACAAAGCATGGAAGATTAGTTAAGTTTAAAGTGTGAGGTTTTGGTTGGGACATCAAAACGATGCCAGATTTATCTTCCAAAACTTTATTTTTGCAATTCTTAAGTTCATTTTGAAGCTCACCAAGGAATGGCCTAATTCATTAAATATTTCAGTCTCAGTTGAGTGTTGCTAGTCTTGGTATCAGTGGCCACCTTTCCTTGACCATCTTCCCTTTACTTCTCTGGCACCTCCTACATCAATAATCATACTTTGACTGGCTGCCCTTACCTTTCAGTGTGAATTCCCCCCCCCCAAGTTCTGTCCCTTATCCCTCCTTTTTCTTCCATTATCTCTCACTTAATGATCACATCCACTTTATGTATGACTTTATCTCTTACCTCCATCAAGTAAATGACGATTTTTTCCCTGTAGTTATGACTTCATTCCCAAGTGCAGATCAGCCTTTCCAATTTTCCTTAAACATCTTCATCTGAAGTACCTTCCATGAAGGACCTTCCAACACCTCAGACTCAGTGTGCTCATATCGAATTAATCAACTTTGTCTACCCCTTCACTCCTTTCCCAAACTCCATTAAAATAATAATAATTATTACTATCTTAAAGCGTCTTCTTTCTTTTCACTTCACCTTTGACTCTTCATTCACTTTACCCTCCCACATCCAGTGCCAATCCCTCTCATACTAATTTCTTTAATTCTTTCCCTCCATTACCACCACCTCTTCCCTGTCCTGGCTTCTGTTTTCTCTGGCCCAGACTGTTGTCTTAGTTCTCCAATACAGCACCTCCAGTTTTTGCCTTCTCTAAACCACTTTGCACATTCCTGCTAGATTAACATCCTTAAAACAACCCTTAAATCTCCCTTGCCTAAGCATCTTCATGAGTTTCCTACTTTCCTTAGTATAAAATCTAAAACTTTTGGTCTACATTTCAGGTCCTTTCATATCTTCTCATTAAATACCTTCTTAATAAATACCTGGAATATCTGTAGTTATTAAACACAAATATTTGGATGTCAATACGTATTTTGGTACATACCATATGTTAGTAACTGTTAAGCACTCACAATTCATACTCTTGAACTGCATATAGTATAGTAGAGAGAGAGAGAGAATATGAATATCAATGATTATATACCAAATTGTGATTTAAAATATGTCTAGAGAAGGTAATAATTATGTCTCACAATTGGTTGGGAAACTGCATGGTCAGGAAAGTTTGACGGAGAAGTTAAGTTTTTCACAAGGTTTTGGTAGACCACAGCTCTATGTTGATTATGATTGCATTTTGATTTCTTCCATTGCAGGTTGAAATGGGCATGAAGAACCATGAAATTGTTCCCTGCAGTTTGGTTGCTTCTATAGCCAGCCTTAAACATGGTGGTTGTAATAAAGTTTTAAGAGAACTAGTAAAACATAAACTTATAGCTTGGGAGCGAACCAAAAGTAAGTATTTGAGGCACCGTTTGTAATTTTCCCTGTAACTGGCTTCCGCCAGAGCAGGTATTCCAAAAAGCAGGTGGAAGCTGCCAGACTAGGAAAGCACTAGACATAGAACTGACACAGTACACTTCTACCATGTTCTATTGGTCAGAGCAATCACAGGGCCCACCCAGATCCAGGAGGCTAGAGAAATAGCCTCCATTTCCTCATAGGGGATTAGCAAGTTCCAATTGCAGAAGAACAAGTGGGATTAAGATATTGTTGCTGTCTTTGACAAGTACAGTCTGCCAAAGGACTCTAGAGCATTACCTCTCAAACCATAGTGGTGAGGGATGAGTTTCTCTTTTTCCACCTATTATGGATCCGTACCTTTATAAAATAATAAAAATAATTACTAGAAAAATAAAAAACTGACAAAATACAGGCACAAATTCCTTCTTATTAGAATTGAAGACATAAAATAACTTAGTCAAATTGATACAAAAATTTTTGAACCACTTAGTTTCTATAACTTGTCACAGACTAGTAACAAACATTTATAGACTGGTATCAGTCTGTAGGTTACACTTTGAGTAACACTGCTTTAGAGAAGAAATAAAAATTACAGCAAGAAATGCTAAAACTCATAAGCCTGGGTAGCTAGTGTTTTTCCAGCTAAGACTTCTCTTGTTTAAATTTTTCTCTTGACCTGATGTGACTTGATGGTACAGTGTAACTAAAATATGGTCTTTCTCGTTTGATTTTTTCTAGCTGTCCAGGGCTATCGGTTGACAAATGCAGGCTATGATTACCTAGCTTTGAAAACACTTTCTTCTAGACAGGTGGTTGAGTCTGTTGGAAACCAGATGGGTGTTGGCAAAGAATCTGGTAAGTACTGATAGTACTATTGAGTGCATTTTATTTGCTTTAGTTTATGTTTCCCCTTGAGAAAGGATTCATCTTTTCTATTTTTCTAACTAAACAGTAAATTGAAAAGTTGGTTGAAAGCAATACAGATTTTGAAATTACCCTTAGTTTAGTAAACTGTTTTTTCGTAAGTCTATCACTGAAAGTTCAGTTATACCAAGAATCGGTTTTCCTCTAATAACTGAAATCTTTGGCAAATACTTTATTTGTTCTTATTTTAATATCTGATAAATTGAACATTTGTAATAATTTTTAAAAGTATCACAAGGGGGCTTCCCTGGTGGTGCAGTGGTTGGGAATCCGCCTGCAAATGCAGGGGACATGGGTTCGAGCCCTGGTCCAGGAAGTTCCCACATGCCGCAGAGCACCTAACCCCGTGTGCCACAACTACTGAGCGTGTGCTCTAGGGACCACAAGCCACAGCTACTGAGCCCACGTGCACAACTACTGAAGCCTGCGCACCTAGAGTTTGTGCTCCACAAGAGAAGCCACCCAAGTGAGAAGCACGTGCACTGTAACGAAGAGTAGTCCCCGCTCACCACAACTAGAGAAAGCCCACGTGCAGCAACAAAGACCCAATGCAGCCAAAAATAATAAATAAATTTTTTTTTTAAAAAGTATCACAAGGAAGTTATAAAAACCACACTTTCCATCACAGCAGTATGATCAACAGGGCAAAGTTAGATATGTGTAGAACCATATGTGTAGAACCACAGAAAAAAACTCTAAAATAGCATTAAACAAATACCTATGTAGCGGTTTTTTATGTGTGGTAAAAATAAAGAACAGAGAAAGATTTTCTTTATGCCATGCTCTCTTATACACTACTTTTTGTCCTACAAAGTTTATGCTGTATAGTTACATACTTTAAACTGAGAGAGCAAAAAAATTAAAATTAGGGCTTCCCTGGTGGCGCAGTGGTTGAGAGTCCACCTGCCGGTGCAGGGGACACGGGTTCGTGCTCCGGTCTGGGAGGATCCCACATGCCACGGAGCATCTAGGCCTGTGAGCCATGGCCGCTGAGCCTGCGCGTCCGGAGCCTGTGCTCCGCAACGGGAGAGGCCACGACAGTAAGAGGCCCGAGTACCGCAAAAAAAAAAAATTAAAATTAGAAGTAAAAGAACTATTAGGAAACCTATTCCAAAGGAGGTTGTTTTGGTACTTCATATGGTTTGTATGTCTACTATATTAGTATCCAGAGTATGGTATATATTTAATAAGCAATATTAGAGTTACTAAATACGGGAGTGTGTGTGTGTAAAAATGTATAAAATGATGTAATGAAACACCTCTTTTTCCTCTTAATTTTTTTATGTCCAATTTTTTCCAATTAAAAAAATGGCTTTCTTTTAATTTTTAAGAACTTCATTACTTGCAAAACAGTACGAGTACGGTAAAAAGTGAATCTTAACTCCTAACCCAGGTCTCCATCTCCTGTTACTACTTCCCAAAGCTATCACTATTTATTAATATTGTACATATCATAGAAATATTCTATGTAAATACAAGTATATAATGTACTGAGGATGTATGTATATACATTCACATACCTTTTTAATCATAGGCGAAAGCAAACAGTACTTACAATTCTACACCTTGATTTTTTTCCACTTGGTGCATCCCTGACATCATTTAATATTAGCAGAGGTGTCTTTCTTGTAGTTGCCAAGTATTACAGTCTTAGAAATTAAATTATTAGAGCTAAAGTTATGCACATTCAAAATTTTGATATTACCAAATTTCCTTCCAAATTGTGTCAATTTATAATCTCACGAACATGAGAGGCTGTTTCTCTCATGAGTAATTAGGACATGTTCTAAATGTTAGTATTAAAATAGCAACTTGTTTGATAGAATATTTATGGGAAGATCTCCATTCTGATTATTATAGGATTATATTTGGATACTCAGTATTTATTCATTGAAGCAATTTAAGAATTGAAATTCACATTGTTGAAAAGAAAGAATTTTTTTTTCTTTTTGGCCCTGCTGCGTGGTAATGCAGGATTAGTTCCCCGACCAGGGATCTAACCCATGTCCCCTGCAGTGGAAGCGCAGAGTTTTAACCACTGGACCGCCAGACAAGTCCTGTGTTGAAAAGGAAGATATTATTAATCACTGCTCGTACATGTAGGACACTAAGGAACAATTAGATGTATTCCCACTAAATGGAATTGAGCATTGAGCATCTTTGGAAGCAGTAACCTTTGACACCTTTGCATCCCTGTTTTCTTTTGTAGTAGATATTAATACATGTCATCATTTTGTATTGTAATTAAAATTACAATAAAAAGAATTTTGCTGAATGGTAACTATTTCTAGTTATTAGGAAAGATAAAATTTGGTACAAATAAAACCAAAGTTAGAAAATTGGAATTGTTTAAATTTACTGGAATAAAAATATAATAATGATCCTTTTAAAATTTTGACTCTAGATATTTACATTGTTGCAAATGAAGAAGGGCAGCAATTTGCATTAAAGCTTCACAGACTGGGAAGAACGTCCTTTCGAAATCTGAAAAACAAGCGTGATTATCATAAACACAGGCATAACATGTCTTGGCTTTATTTATCTCGTCTCTCTGCCATGAAAGAATTTGCTTATATGAAGGTATTTTTAATTTTATATTTTTAACCAAACAGTATGTGTAGTTAAAAGGTTGTAGTGACATGCATCAGTCTGTTGCCTCCGCATCTCCCTACTCTCAGTCCCAATCCTTAACAGTCACTTTTTAACTCTTTAGACTATTTCTGGTATTTGTTTTTCTCGTGGTTTCCTTCTACGCAAAGGTATTTTTAGCTGTTATAAATGCATAAAGGCAACTTGTATTCTACAATATTAACAAGATAGAGTAGCCTGAAATAACTAGTGATGTAATTGCCTCACAAATGTGTATGTGTGAATGTAAATCTATACCTGTCTATGCATATGTCTGTCTCTAATTGAAAACACCAGATAATTACCTTCCGTAGAAACCTTAGTCTCTCAGGTAAGTTGACTGGTATTTTTTTTTCCACAATGGAAGAAATGTCAATTTATGAATTTGTATGTATATTAGAAATGGTAAAAATCTTTAGTTTTCAACCTTTTACCTTCCAAATTATGTTCAAGATAGATTTACTAAATATCTTTAATAATAACCAAATTAATTGTCTTCACTAATAATTTAAATTAGAAAATAACTGCATTCTTACTATTCTCTCCAGTAGGATTTATTTGTTATAACTTATCTTTTTAAAATTTTGAATTATTAAAAGTCACTCCAGTGTATGACCTGTTGTTTCTTGGGAATTTCAGTTTGATGTTCTTTGAGTAGGTTATTTTAATTCATGTGCTTAAATTTTTAGTAATCCTGAGGGAAGAATCCTCTAGTCAGTATAAGTAAGTGATATCAATACCATACATGTTGTGTTTTTTGTGTTATATCAGTGGTTTGTATCCTGTGATAGTAAGTAGGCAGTTTGGTAGGAATTGTTACACATTTCCCCCAAACTATATTAAGTGTCTTCTTGGTGTGTTTATATGAAGGCACAGGAATAGAGCCTGGTTGTGGATAAATATGCTTCTTAAATTTATTCTCTCTTTTCCTAAGCGAAAATAAGATAAGATTGAGCTATAACTTAAGGGTTAAGCTATGGTACAAGGGCTAGACCACTATGACAATAGTTAGAGTTGTTACATACTGTTGAGCTGCCAAAGCATGTTCAAAACCATTTGGATTTAAAAATAACAAATATATAGCCAAGCAGACAGTCTTTGGAGAGAGGGAAGTAGTTCAGTTCCTGTCCAAAGAAGGGAGGAAGTAGAGTAGACAGCTCTTAAAATTAACCCTGTTAATAAGCATATATTGAGTGTCAGCTGTGTGCCTACCTCTATATTAAGTATTTTGTTGGGGGAGGTGAACAGCAGATACCAAAGAAATAACAAGTGCAGTGTGTCTCTTAAAGTTGGAAAGATAACATGAACACACCTAAAACAGAACAGTTTAAATGTCAAATTGTATGTTGAGTTTAGAGAATCTTCTGTAGAGTAGAATGATCGATGAAGGAGGTTTCATAAGTGAGTGGGAGTTGAGTAGAGTAATGGAGTTGCATATGATTTGTCTGTAAGGAAAAGACAATAAGACAGTGTACTTTGCAAAGGAACCAGAATGGCAAAGACATGAATATTCGTGTGAGCCCTGTGTGTATCGGGACAGTCACTAAGGTGACTGTCTTGATCACACTCCAGAGTGTTTATTGGACAGAGTATTGAGAGAACTAGGACTGGATAAGTGGATTAAAGAGTTTTGAAAACTAGGAAAAGTTATTCAGACTGAAGTCGATATTTACAGCCATTGTAGTTTTTTTTAAAATGGAGCATTGGCGCAAGCATCTTAGTTGGTATTGGCACACTTGAAGAAAGGTTTGGTGTGGTAGCAAGAACTAGAACCACTGTTGGCGTGATTCAGATATCAATGACAAAGGCCTGCTTAGAAATGGTAGCATTCCAAATGGCAGAGGACATAAATCTAAGATATTTTGAAGAAAGTAATACAACAGGCCTTTGTAAGCAATAAGATAGAAAAAGTTAAACATAGGGTAAAAAATGGATTTATGGATGGTGGGTAGTAACATTTGACTCAGACCACTACGGTGTTTATTTGTGACTACAGTGACTGTTTGTCACATAATAGATTTTTGTTTGTTTGTTTGCGGTACGTGGGCCTCTCGCTGTTGTGGCCTCTCCCGTTGCGGAGCACAGGCTCTGGACGCGCAGGCTCAGCGTCCATGGCTCACGGGCCCAGCCGCTCCGCGGCATGTGGGACCTTCCCGGACCGGGGCATGAACCTGTATCCCCTGCATCGGCAGGCGGACTCTCAACCACTGCACCACCAGGGAAGCCCTGTCACATAATAGATTTATATTGTATATTGTGGTCTGAAGAAAAAGGCCAGTGCTATATAAACTGAAATGCCTAATATATTGGAATATTTCATTTCCTGATATGCCAGAAGGCAGAATATTTCCTAAATCACAATTTATTTCCATTTGAATTTTTTAAGCACACTCCCAGTAAATGACAGAAACTTACAAAATAGAAGATATACATATCGTAAAAGACGAAACTTCTTGAAGGCAGAGACATTTTCACACTCATTTTTGTAACCCTAGCACAGTGTATAATATTTAGTAAATGTTCAGTAAATGAATGTTTGGTAAAAAAGTGAATTACAGGGGCTTCCCTGGTGGCGCACTGGTTGAGAGTCCGCCTGCCGATGCAGGGGACACAGGTTCGTGCCCCGGTCTGGGAAGATCCCACATGCTGCGGAGCGGCTGGACCCGTGAGCCATGGCCGCTGAGCCTGCGTGTCCGGAGCCTGTGCTCCCCAACGGGAGAGGCCACAACAGTGAGAGGCCCGCGTACCGCCAAAAAAAAAGTGAATTACAAAAACTGGTTTACAATGTTGTTTTTATGTACAGCTCATTCTGTGCAGTGAATAAACCGTACATAAATAATCATGTGTTAACTGTAATTTTGTAAAGGCTTATATGTTTTTTTTCTGGTTGTGGACAGGTACATTTAATTTTATTGTTCCCTAAAAATGAATGACCTCTTCGTTACTTTTTACCTGTTTTGCTATATTTTAGGCATTGTATGAAAGGAAATTTCCAGTTCCAAAGCCAGTTGATTATAATCGCCATGCAGTGGTCATGGAACTCATAAAAGGCTATCCTCTGTAAGTATAATTCTTGGAACCTTTAGTCCTAATAAATAATTATAAGGTTCAGTTTTAAAAAGTAATTTTTTTTTCTGTAAATGGAATATTGCTTCTGGGAGGTTAGAAATTAACATAAAGTAGTAGACTTAAAGGCAAATTGAAAATTCAGTTTCATTCTGACAATATGGATTTTATACTCTCTGACTCAGTCAGTAAATAAACAGCCTAGTATGTGCCAAGCGCTGTTCTAGGCTCCCCAGTAAACAAAACAAAGTCCCTGCCCTCATAGAGCTTACTTTCTAATGGAAGGAAACTTGCAGGAAATAGCTAAACAAGGAAATATTTGATACATCAGATGGTGGTAAATGCCATGCATAAAAATAAAGTGGGGTAAGGGGGACAGGAAGTGTTGAGGTGGGTGGGTGTAGGAGGCTGCTATTTTACATGGGGTGACCAGGAAAAGTCTCCTTGATAAGGGGATTTTTGAGCAGAATCCTGAAAGAAGTGACAGAGGAAATCATGCAGATATCTAGGAACATTTCAGGCAGAGGCAAGAGCAAATGCGTAAATCCTGGAATGGGAGTATGCCTGCATGTTCAGGAAACAGAAGGCCACTGTGGCTGCAGCTGAGTGAGTAAGGAGAGAAATTGTAAGTGATGAGATCACAGAGGCAGCAGACGATTTGTAAGCCATTGCAAGGATGTTCTATTTATTTATTTTGGTGGGGAGGATATATTTGACATATAACATTCAGTAACTTTAAGGTTGATTTGATACATTTATATTTCCTAATGTGATTGCCATTGTAGCAATAGTATTAAGGACCATTTTGATTGAGACAGGAAGCCACTGGAGGATTTTTTTTTTTTTTTTTGGTGTCAGTGAAAACTGCAGGTCCTAACCACTGGACTGCCAAGGAACTCCCTGCCATTGGAGGATTTTGAATTGAGAAGAGACATGATCTGACTAATGTTTTAATGGGATCACTCTGACTACTGTATTGGAAATAGACTAAAAGGAGACTAGGACAGGATTAGGAAGAAAAGTTAGGAAATTATTGTAATAATGCAAGCAAGAGATGATAGTAGTTTAGATCAGAGTGGTAGATGGTGAAGGTAATGAAACGTGGTCAGATTTTGGATATGTTTTACAGTCAGGGCCTACATGATTTGTTTGCGATTGGGTATTGATATAAAGGAAGGGGCAGGTAAGGATAACACCAAGATCTGCGGCCTGAATAATTGGAGGGATAAAGTTGCCATTTATAGAAATGGGAAAGACTGCAGAAAGACAGTTTGGAGTTAGAGGGTGGGGCAGAATCAGAGGTTCAGTTTGGGACATGGTAAGTTAGAGATTCCCAGAAGCTCAGAGAAGTCTAGATTGAAGTCTGTGTATGAGCCTGTATGAGATCACCAAGAATGGTTAAGATAATAGGTCTTAAGATTAACCTTTGAGGAGCTCCAAAATTTATACGTCAGGGAAAAGCTGAAGAACTAGCTAAAAAAACTAAGAAGGAATGATCAGGGCAGAAAGAGGACAGCCTGAAGAGTTAGTGTACCAAGGGTCAAGTGAAAGGAGCTGCTTCAAGGAGGGGGAAGAGGTTAACTGACAGACCAGATAATGATGAAGGTGGAGAATTGACCATTGGATATAGCAACATGTAAGTCATTGGTAGTTTTGACGAGAGCTATTTCATTGGAACAAGGTTGAATGAAAGCTTGTTTGAAATGGGCTCATTAGAGTGCTCATTGAATTGGAGAAAGCACAATTAGAGGAGTTTGGCTGTTAAGATGAAAGAAAGAATGTGGTGTACTGGGAAGAAGATACAGAATTGAATGGGTTGTGTCTTTTTTTTTTTTTTTTTTAAAGCTGTTATATCTGTATGCTGATAGGATTGAAGAGAAAACTGCTAGGGAGGCATGATGAAATGGAAATAATATTTAAATGTAAATACACACATGTTTGCTTTCATTAAAATCATAAATGAGGACAAATAACCATTTTCACACTTATACTTTCAGATGTCAGATACACCATGTTGAAGATCCTGCATCAGTATATGATGAAGCTATGGAACTAATTGTTAAACTTGCAAATCATGGGCTAATTCATGGAGATTTCAATGAATTCAATCTCATTTTGGATAAAGATGACCACATCACCATGATCGATTTTCCACAGATGGTTTCAACTTCTCATACCAATGCTGAATGGTATATTCTGGATGTAACTGTGTTTATGTGTGATGCAGTCATCTTTTATTTATTAATAATTTTTCAGCTTTGTCATACTGTCATTGAGGTTAATAACTGGTTTGAAGTGGCTGATGTTAAGAGTCTAAAAATTGGGATGTCAAAATGCTCTGATTTTCCCCCTAAGAATTTTTCTTACTCCTCAGTATTTTAAAACTGAAAAAAAATGCACTTTGATACAGTTTTTAAAACCTATTCATTAAAATAATGCTGTATATTAGAAATCTGAAGAAACTGCCTACTTTTATAAATCATCAAAAGAATTTGAATTACTCTTGTAACCTGACAGACTTGCGAAAGTGAAACTTTCTCACCCATGGAACTCTTTATTCAAACAAACGTTTCGGTGGAAGCCCAATTTTTACAACAAAAGTCTGCTCAGAAGAAGTAGGGACATGGAAGGAGGAACCCTAGAACCACATCCTCTTTGCCTTTCCCCTTTTCTCTCTGCTTCATGGTTGCCTCCAAGAGGGCTTCACCAGGCATAATTTAATAATTTTTTATGGCCTTGATGAAAGTTACGGTTTTGTCCTGAACTCAGTTACCAGACTGGTAATATCTCTCATGTTGTTTTTAGCTTTTATTTTAATAAGAGAAAGGAATTCACGTAAAACCTCATCCCTGACACAGGGCAGAATCACTTCATATACTGTGATAATCTTATTTCTCATATTGACCATTTAAACAGCCAAATTGTGAAATATGACAGGATATTTTCCTTTATGTGTTTGTATTCTATGATGCAATTGAGTGTAATCAAATTAAGATTGAGTATTTTTTTTCTCCTGTTCTCTCAATTCCATGTCATCCTGTCTCTTAATTCTCCCTTTCTGGAAACCTAGAGAATTCAGTCTGTTCTGGCTGCTTTATGGTAGCCTAAAAAGCAACCTGATATTCAGAGGTCCTTCTACTCTCAGTCCAGATTAACATGTCTCCAGATAACCATTTATAAGCCACAGCATTAGTTATCTCCTATAGATGTTTACTGCATATTAGCTAATGGGTAATAAAGATAATATAAACATAACATTAGTCCCCAAACTTTTTCTTATGAGTCACTAGTTTATTTTTGTCTTCACCTTTCCCAGTTGACTCGAGGTTCTAGTGAACATAGCTGAAGCTGATGGGAACTATAATCAGACAGACGAAACTAGAGAGGGAAAGTAGAAATCTGCCCCCAAACTGCAGGCCCTTATCTTTTTTTCTGGGATTCATATATATGTCTCACAGTATGGGAAAACGTCGAGTTTTCTAACCATAAGAATTGTATGCCATTGACAGCTTATAGTCCTTGTTCCTGGGCTTTTAGTTTTTCAAACACCAGCAGCTGATTTGTTTCTTTTTTCTTTTGAGTAACATCCTTTTCTCTTTCATGTAACAACAAGAATGTCATAACAAGGATGTTGTCTTTGGCTAATAAGGAAAAAGATGAACAACAAAGGCTATATAAAAAATGATTCTTGCTTTTGCAGGTATTTTGACAGAGATGTTAAATGCATCAGAGATTTCTTCATGAAACGTTTCAGCTATGAAAGTGAGCTTTTCCCAACCTTTAGTGATATCAGGTTTGTATACTATGTTGCATAAAATGATAGAATTCTGAATACCAGATTTATTTAGTTCTAAAAGTTAACACTTTCATCTAAAAAATTTTCATTATTATTGTTGTTCAGTATCATTGCTATATAATATACAAATGAAACTTAAAAACTATGCCTACCTGTGGTCCATTAACCTTACTGAATTTGGAGGAGGAACCTACTTAGTTTCTTATAAATTTGAGAACGCTTATTCAATATAGGATGCTATGTGAATAACCCATTTTTAAGGAATCAAGCCAAGTGTTTATCAGAAATTGTGTTTTTCCTTTATTCACTATAGGAGCTATATTTAATTGATTCATGGAACATAATTATATGTAAATTCTCACAGCCAAATGTTCTCATTTTGTATACGTAGTTAAGATATTGTTTTCTGATTTGGGATGATTGACATAACTTAAAATCTTTAGCCTCCTCTGAAAGTTAATTTATTAAGTCAGTATCAACTGAAGTTTCTGTAACTTTTCTACTAATATCTGTTGCTCTTCACAGTCATTTTATTCCTTTTTTTTTTTTAAGATTCATTATTTAATTTATTTTTGGCTGCCTCGGGTCTTAGTTGCAGCACACAGGATCTTTGCTGAGGCATAAGGGATCTTTCCTTGTGGCGTGCAGGCTTCTCTCTAGTTGTGTCGTGCGGGTTTTCTCTTCTCTAGTTGTGGTGCTGAGTCTCCAGGGCATGTGGGCTCTGTAGTTGAGGCGCACGGGTTCCAGAGCGTGTGGGCTCTATAGGTTGCCACACACAGGCTCTCTGGTTGAGGCATGAGAGCTCAGTAGTTGGGGCGTGCGTGCTTAGTTGCCCTGTGGCATGTGGGATCTTACTTCCCTGACCAGGGACTGAACCCACATCCCCTGCATTGTAAGGCAGATTCTTTTCCACTGGACCACCAGGGAAGTCCCTCACAGTCATTTTATTCTTAGATGACAACCAGCTATGTCCTTTACATTTGTGTAGTTAAGTGATTTAAGTATTACCTTTTAGGCAGAGAAAAACCTTTAAAATATATAAACTGTTAAACTCATTTGAGAGTCGTAATTTATCAGAACACTAAATACTTAATTCATGTCAGGTGGATTTTTTCTCGCTCTCTAAATGCATAACATTCTTTTCTTTTCCTAGGAGGGAGGACTCTCTTGATGTAGAGGTTTCTGCCAGCGGCTACACAAAGGAAATGCAGGCAGATGATGAACTACTTCATCCAGTAGGTCCAGATGATAAAAATATTGAAACACAGGAGGGATCTGAATTCTCATTTTCTGTTGAAGAGATATCAGAAAAAGCAAAGGACTGTAGATCAGATATTGAAAGTGGACAGAACTCTATAGGTGAATCAGTTGACTGCTGTTACAGATCATCTGGAGACCTGGAACAAATAAAGGAAGACAGTTTGTCAGAGGACAGTGCTGATGCACATAGTTTTGAAATGACTGAATTCAATCAGCCTTTAGAAGAAATAAAAGCGCAGGTTGTTACAAACAGTTCTGTAACTGAGTTTTCTGAGGAGAATAGCAGAACTGAACATGACACCAGGCAAGATGATAAGACAGGTCAAGGTGGAATCCTCATGGGCTCTGAGGAGTATGAAGATGAGTGCCCTCATATGATTGCCTTGTCATCAGTAAACAAAGAATTAAGGCCTTTCAGGTATAGACTTCTGTTGATTGGTTTTTTACTTTAATCTGGAGACCTAGACTTTGATTCTGGTAAATGAATGTTTTTTTCAAATGACATGACAGCTATATTCTGCATCATCATGTGCAAAATGAAAGCAAATAACTCTTTTATAGTTAAAATTCAAATAACCCTGTACAATTGACTTATGCTAGACAGCCTGTTTATTCAATTTTAAGCAGTTCTGCTTTCAAATTCAAACTGATTACTTTCAAATAGTTAATAAGATCTCTTGATAAGTTGATGAGGTTTTAGATGGGTGAATTATTTGTATTTTTTAATAATTATTTATCTAATGTATGTTTGGTTAATGTATAGTCCAATAAACATGTAGTAAGTGTGCTCTCTTAAAATATCTACTTACAGTGAATTTTCCCTTGTGCTTTGAACCTTTTGTACTTATTTGTTAATGCACAATTAAAATTACTGTTATTTTTTTTTTTTTTTAAGTTTTTTTTTTTTTGGACAAATATTAGTGAATCAGCCTCAGCTTAGATTAGCAAAAGATCTAAAATTTAACTTTTAGATTTAGGGTAGTTTGATGAAATATGGCTTTATGTATTTCAAAGTAGTAATATCATATAAATTAAGCATAATTAACTATTAAAAATTAACTAAATTTCGATTTTAATTTTAGAGATGAAGAGAATATGGAAGATACTAACCAACATAGAACAAGAACTCTGAGTGTTACTTCTGCGGGCAGTGTGTTAGGCTGTTCAACAATTCCTCCGGTAACTATTCATTCAACATTTCCCAGGTGTTTATTAGCACTACTGTGGACAGATTATTAAGCTAAGGTGCTCTGAGGATTAGATGATGTACAGGACCACCTTGGCCATTTGGACTTCACATGTTGATAGTATAAAATTGATAACAAGTGCAAATTTAGTAAATAGAGAGGGTTCACTTCACTTTTAGCTGGAACGATCAGAGCTTTCAGGGAAAACACAGCATGTAAGTTGGCTTGAATTTGAAAGATGAAAATCATAGAAATTTAAATCCAAGGGGGACTTTGTAGATTCTCATGTGATCTTGTCCCTGCATTTTAACAGTTAGGAAATTGAGGCCCAGACAAGTTACATGACTTTGCTCAAGATTACTCAGCTAGTGACAGCACTGCACCTCAAATGTGAAAATGCACGAGCTTCGCTAGCTAGCTTGTTCTTAAATTTTGAAAGAGGAAAATAGGTAATTGTAAAACTTTCAGTGTCTCAAGCTTTTGTTGGACATTTAGCAACAAATGTCCAAAAGAATTTCATAAAGGACATTTTCTGGACAGGATAATGAACGTATAGTCCAGCTCCTACCGATGAGCTTTTATGCCTGCCGGCCATTTCTCCTGGCCACCCGGAAGGAAGAATCAGTTTGTTTCCTTTGTAGATTTTAAGCAGAGATAAAATTACATAATTGGTGTGGTAGGTTTTTTCCTTCTGGTTGAAGGTACTAAGTTGAATACCATTGAAACTAGTTTTTAGTGATAACTTTACTTAAAATGAGCAAAAGAAGAAAGTCAGTTTAGAAGGTAGAAAGGAGGAAATCAAATTATTATTTAGAAAGTGAATTCACAGGGAAAGAACTTTGTTTTTTCCTGAACTTCTCATTTTTTAAGTTCAGATATATTGTTAAGTTAAAATGTACACCCTGTGGAGGGTAATATGGGACATTTACAAAATTAAATCAGTTATCAAAAAATAAGCTAAAAATAACAGTACTCTCTTTTATTAATATAGTGCACTTTTAGTAGTACTGGTATCTTTACTCAATAATAGAAACATTTGGAACTTGTGAGACCAAAATAAAAGAATAAAATTTTGTAAATGCACTGATTTTATATACTCTTCTGATGGCCTCATAATTTACCTGATTTTCTGAACATAAAATTTAAGTCTGTGAAATCTTTGAAACATCTTTTAATTATGATGGAAGATAGTATCTCCCTTTAAGTATTATCACCTGTCTTGGTTAAGAATTTCTCTCACTTTATGATTGCCTGTCCATTCTTGGCTTTGATATTTTTCTGTACTTATTGAGATGTATTCACCCTCCTTTCTTTGATTTTATCAGATTCAAAACATAAGTGCATTTATATCTAATTGTTGGATTGGCCAAAAAGTTCATTAGGGTTTTCCTGTAAGATGTTACAGAAAAACCCGAATGAACTTTTTGGCCAACCCAATACAGTGTTGTGAAATTGGCAATTGCATATAAAGAAAAGTTAGATTACTCCTGCTACTTTCTTAAATTCTAAGTTATGCTCTTTCCTGTATATAAAGATGATGACACTAACATTGTCTTTAGGTCTTGTCTTTATACCATTTAACTTACAGCTAACAGAAGGAACTTATATTTCAAATGGGGTCGAGCCTATAATAAACTGCATTATAAAATACAGATTAGCCTTTAGTCTAAGGGGGAAAAAGATCTCTCTAGCCAGCTTAATCAAAAAGGTTTCCCTCTAATCATTGGAAATAAATTGACCGTGTTAACTTCTAATTCTTTTGGGAATTTGGTCATACTATTTTCCTTGAGGTCGTATTCCATTTTTTTTAAAGGGTCAGGAGAAAACAAACTGTTTTATTACCTTCGTTAATTTGATGATTGTTGTTTTCGTGTCTGCAAAACTAAAGGATTTGCTCTGTGTTCTTTGAAATTGTAAAATCTGTTTTCCTCTTTAAAATACTTTTATAGTTCCCTATTTATTGGCAAAGTTGCCATTTATGAATGCTGTTCTTTCTCATATGTAACAGAATTAAATTCCAGCTAAACATTAAGGTATATTGATTTTAAAAAAATACATACATGGCCACCATCAATAGCAACAAACAACAAAACAATAACAAAGTACATGATTTTCATTCATTTTTTTCATGTACTCCTTGAAATAATACAGAAGTACAGTTGACCCTTGAACAACACTGGTTTGAATATGTGGGGTTTTTTAATAGTAAATGCTACAGTACTATATGATCTGTGGTTGGTTGAATCCGCAGGTGCAGAGGAACCTCTGATACAGATGGCTGACTCTAAGTTATACTCAGATTTTTGACTGCTCAGTGGGTCAATGCCCCTAACACCCTCATTGTTCAAGGATTAACTGTATTTTATTTCGCATTTCATCATTTTTTTAAAAAAATATACTAGTGTTGATTTTTCTCCCACTTTTTTTAACATGAAAATTAACCTTGTAGGATTTGTAAATTGTTCTGAATTAGGAGGTATATGCATAGTAATTCATTACCTCCTTATTTTCTTTAGCTGCTTGATATGATTATCTTATGGTCTCATTGAAGTAAAGAACGAAGGGGAAGTTCAAGCAGAATATTTAGAAAATAAATTGATTTCTTTTTCTTGGAACTATCCCAGAGGCCTCTGTCTGAACTCTTCTAGTTTAAATGTGGTGCATGTTCTACTGTTGTCTCAGTCTCCTGTTGGGTACCTTCTTTCCTAGTTTTATCTCTTCCTTACTGAGTTTATTACTTCTTTATGTGGCAGAACGGATTTTAGTAGTTTTTTGAGTGAGTTTGGGTGGGGGAGAGGACTTTTTATTACTAAAAATGTCTTTTTATCGTGTCCTCACACCTGATTGAGAATTTAAGTATTAGAGTTGTGGTTTGGAAATAATTGACCTTCAGAATTCTGAAGGTATTGCTTTGTTTTCTTGGTGATAGTTAAGACGATGCTGATCTGATTCAGGTTTCTGGTCTCCTGCTTGGGTGAGGAGGCTGTGATAGTTGCCTGGCTTCCTAGGGTAGAGAAAAGTCCTAGAGGCCAGTCACTCATGTGTTAAACTTTCAGCCAATCTTAATGCTTTCAGTAATGAAATTTCTGGGATAGCAACCAGGTGCTTCTAAGACTCTGGCCTAACTGGAACTGCATCTCCTGGGATATCAGCCTCTGCAGGAACTGGCATTTTTATTCTTCTGTTTCGCTTTATCTTCTTTTACTTTTCCTCCCACTGAGAATCATTAGACTAAAATAAAGAGGGATAACTTGTTAAAGCCTGTCTGCCTAACTATGTAAAATATCTGAAGTCTGCCTTTAACTTATCTGATCCAGAGTTTTATATTATACATATACAGTCCAAGAAACAGTGCGTTAGGCAGACTGGTTTTTCTGGCTCCTTTTTACCTCTCAAATCCATTAATCTTTAATTTTTTAACTTGACAGATTTTTAATAAATGCTTCTTTGTACCTAGCATGGGGTGGGGCATATTGAGAAGAGACCCTTGCTTCATCAACGTTCACTCTTTTTTTAGGAGAGGTTGGATGATGCAAGATTTTATACACAATTAAACAGGCTGCTTCAGAGGAAAAAAAAATTATGTGAACGGAATATTCAGATTTTTTTCTTCATCTTGTAAGTCATTTGACATTGGCAGCCTGTGTCTTAAGTGATAAGAAATAATTTGAATTTATGACCATTCACCGTGTGAAAACATACTGTTTCTCCCAGAAACTGTATGAGGACTTTTCCAAGAGTAACTGCTGCCATCAGGTCATCTCTACACCTGAAGTTATGAAGGCACTCTTGCGTATATTTGACCAGTAGTAAATGCTTTCAAACATAATTTTCCACTACAAAACCATGCCTCCTTTTACCTAGAAAGCAAAGGAATAAGCAGGTTGTTTTGGTTTTGTTTGTTTGTTTTTGTTTTCTTTCCATCTTGTTGGGTTTGGGTTTGGGGGTTATGGTTGGTTGGTTTTTCCCAGTTTTCCTGATAGACACTAGGTGGCACTATGATGATTTGTTATTTAAAGAAATGTGACTATTCACTACTATGTGCTACTTTTTGCTGTAATCTGTATTTCTGTTAGGAATTTAATTCCTCCTGTTTTATAACAGTTTGGTGTTTCTCTTATTGCTGTTAGATATAGTACTGTCAGTGTTTGGAATTTTTAAAACTCATGCTTTTAACAGAAATTTGAAAAATATTAGCAGTGTAAATCTTCGTTTTATTGAATGTTTACTCCTTATCAGAATGTTCCATTATCAGTGATACTAATTCATGAAATCTTTCCAGGAATTGGTGAAACAGAAGGTGAAGCGTCAGTTGACAAAACAGCAAAAATCAGCTGTGAGACGACGATTACAGAAAGGAGAAGCAAATATATTTACAAAGCAACGGAGAGAAAACATGCAAAATATTAAATCAAGTTTGGAAGCAGCTAGCTTTTGGGGAGAGTAATATATTTAAGAACTTGAATATTTTTCAGAAAGTTACTATGATCCCTTTTTAAGCCACCTTTAGTATTTTTTGGACCAAGGCAGATATATATATATAAATAGATAAGTAGACCCTCTTTCATCAATAAATTTGACTCATTCTGTACATGTCTTCTAAAGAATAACTATAGTAATTCTGCTAAAGCAACTCAGTTTTCCAAGTAATTTTTTGTTAGGAATATTTGAGTTTTTTGTTTTTTGGTTTTTTTTTTTCAGTACGCAGGCCTCTCACTGTTGTGGCCTCTCCCGTTGTGGAGCACAGGCTCCGGACGCGCAGGCCCAGCGGCCATGGCTCACGGGCCCAGCCGCTCTGCGGCATGTGGGATCTTCCCGGACCGGGGAACGAACCCGTGTCCCCTGCATCGGCAGGCGGACTCAACCACTGTGCCACCAGGGAAGCCCTTGAGTATTTTTTAAAATCGAAATATCACTGTTTTTGCCTGGTTTTGTTCTCTACCACAAACAGGTAGATTGCTTGGTTTCATATTCCAGCTTTTCCACTTACTAGTGGAAACAACCTTAGGCAAGTCTTATTTCTCTCTCCCTCTTTCTCCTTCTCTGCCTCAGTTTTCTTAGTGTTAAAATTGGATTTATAACTACTTTGTAGCCTTGTTGTGAGGATTGTATGAGACAGTGCACAGAAAGCACTTAGAACAATGTCTAGCACTTTAAAGTGTAGCTATTGGAATGGTAATTACAATGATGTTTATCTTTCAGAAAATCTGCTAACGACTTGGTTGCATTTTATTTAGCCACAGGAAGGATTCACTGCCATATATTTTTTTAGTCTCTTGTATTAAGGGTAAACCAGCAATGTCTCCTTTTATTTTCTGCTACTTAAATTGGTAATGTGGTCATGGGAACAGAAATTTGAGATAGTCACACCATGATTTTTACAGTTTCCAGTTTTTATGCAGCCTGAACAGAAGTAGAAGACTTAAGGGTGGGGGGAAGTAGAAGGGATGAGAAGTGAACAGTTCTTTCTGATATTCTTAACTGGGTGGGTCAAGAACATATTTCACTTCAAAGATAACAAATATAGTTGACCCTTGAACAACGTGGGTTTGAACTGCGAGGGTCCACTATACACAGATATTTTTTCAATAAATACATACTACAGTACTGCGTGGTCTGAGGTTGGCGGAATCTGTGGATGTGCGAGGGCTGATTGTAAAGTTATAGGTGGATTTTCAACTGGATTGGGGGTCATCGTCCCTAATTAGGCCCCACATTCAGCTGTACTCCCTTCACTGGGTGCAGGAAAAAAGAAAATACATAAGGCATGGTTTCTCCCTCAAAGACTTTATAATCCAGTGAGATGTGAAAGTGGGTTCTTAGGTACATGTACCTGATGATAATCCGGTCTCTTCAGCAACAGCATGGCCTGTAAGAAGGATGTCCCTTGCAGTGGAAAATGGCCACAAGATGGCAGTGTCACCCCACAGTCACCAGCCAGGATGTCTTTGAATTACTTGTATCTGTAGTTAGCATTGGCCAGGAGATACAACAGCAGATTCTTTTCCAAGATGGACAAAGACAGCAGATTCCCTTTAACCTTTGCAAAATTAATTCTACTGTTCCTTCACAAGACCTATCTAATAAAATCACTGTAATAATACAGATGCAAGAAAATGTCACATCTAATTCCCTTGAAAATTATACTAATTTTGAAAGTATTTACATAGCTTTGAATTTTAGGTATATCTTTAAATTCAGGTATTCCTTTTTTTTTTTTTTTTTCCTCGTGGGCCTCTCACTGTTGTGGCCTCTCCTGTTGCGGAGCACAGGCTCCGGATGCACAGGCTCAGCGGCCATGGCTCATGGGACGAGCCGCTCTGCGGCATGTGGGATCCTCCTGGACCCGGGCATGAACCCGTGTCCCCTGCATCGGCAGGCGGACTCTCAACCCACTGTGCCACCAGGGAAGCCCTATTCATTTTTTATAATCTATCTACTTTAAAGCATTTTGATAACATAATGTTGAAGACAGCATGATAGAACCACAGAATATTTATTTTGGAATACATTTTCTTATATTAAAAGTTTCAAAAGCAATTTGGGAAACTATATGACTTCACCCTACTCAGCTTTATTCAGTTGACTCAGTCCACCTTTTGGGTACCTATTACATAAAAAGCTTAACTTCTATTTGAGGAACTTAGAAGGCAAATAAACATAGTGCTTACCCTTAATAGCCTAAGATTTCCTGTGAGTTACAGAACAAATTAGTCAAATGTACAAACCTAAACAAATTATTCTGGGTCCAATCACAATGATTTTTAAAAAATGTTTTTGAGTAGCCATCATGTAGAAATTAGAGACTTTGCCTTAATCAGACAAGATTTAACACTCAGATTTTAAAACATCCATAGTGAACAATAAGAAAAATTTTTAAGTCTACTACTAATATAGTAAAACTGTATTATGACGCAAAACACTTGTTAAATCTGGGAGTTTCAAATTTAAATCCTGCTTTTACCACTTCCCAGGTACCTTCTGTAGCCTCTGTAACCTCGCTTTTTTGATTTGTAAATGAAGACATTTAATGGTCCCTGTCTCGAGGTTGTTCTGAAGATTAAATGAAATAACACCTTACAGCAGCTTAGCACAGTGCTTGATGCTGGTCCCTCAGTATCCCTGGGGATTGGTTCCAGGACCACCTGTGGGTATCAAAATCCTCTCATGCTCAAGTCCCTTAAATAAAAGCGCAGACGGTGGGTCCTCCATCTCAGTGGGTTCTGAATCTAAGGATACAGAGGGCTGACTGTATGTTTAGTGTATGTATTGTTCAAATGACTTAAGGTTACCAAAAGGGAGATTCCAGAGGAATCTTTCCATTTTTCAAGGTATTTCAACTATGATTTTATCAAGACGTACAGATACTTTGCTTGCAGCTTTCCATTGTCTACTTGATGTTCCCTTGAAATAAGTTTTATTCTGTAACTGCATACATACAAGGTATGCAGTTTGTATTTGTGCCAAGTTTGCAGTGTTGGTAACCATCAGTCCGTTCTTTGGTGTACAGATGGCTTCTGAGCTTTCTCCAGAATCATAAAGATCTTTAAAGGGTACTAACTGGAAGGTTAGTGCAGTTCAAGATAATCCTTCTTTTAGTTAAGTGCACTGTAAATTTTCTGACAAAACACATAGTTGCCTAATTAAAAAACTTAGGTAAACCTGCTGCCTCATAGTTTTATCAGCCATTTCCACAGGATAGGGGGTTGAGTTCAGAGCACTTCCCTGAGGTGTAGGTTTGTTTCGTTTCACATTCAGTGCTCTGAGTAGGCCAAGGCTCACCATCTTCATTGTTCTTCATCCTTCCTCAGAACAATTTCCTAGAGAGCATCAGGCCATATCTTAGTTTGCCCTTGATGTGCTTTATGAAGTACTCTGCAGCTGTAATGGCTGGGGATGAGGTGAAGTTCAGAATAATCATGAGCTGCACGGTTGCATGATAACTGGGAGTGTGGGAATAACCCCAAAGCCCACAACGCTCAAAAAGACTAATATTGATATATTTTAAAGATCTTAGGTTTTTCTTTTACCTTAGTATTATAAATAATGATGACATTAAAATTAACTTTATGTAACATTTAGAATCAAATTATTGTAGGTTTAATCCCATAAATAGGAGCATGCTCATAGATGTGTTATTTAGGACATTTGTCACAGTATTATGTGCTTCCATTTAGAAAAAAAAATAACCACTTGAAATAAATGAATCAAAAAAAACCCTGCTTACTATAACTCTGCTGTTGGTAGAAGAGGTTTGGCCTGCATTAGGAACCAAGAAACATGTCCACATCAGTTTTCCAAGTGGTTTGGTGTTGTGTAAAGTGGTATCTGGGGAAGGAGTACACAGGTTTTTAAATTTTTGTTAACTGAAGGTCTTTTGGAGAGACAGGAACAAACACACAACAGTTACATGACAATACAAAGACTATACTAAAGAGCCTGATACCACTGATCTAGTGCTGAGGAAATTCTAAGGATAGTAGATAAGTGAAAGGCCAGAGTGCTTTGGTGAGTTGTTTTGGGCAAGGGGGAGGGATTTGGTTGAATAGGTAGACTGAAAGAGCTTGCTAAGAGGAAATCATGCAGAAAATTCACAAGTCAGAAATCAATGTAATATGTTTATTATACTGTACATGGGGGAAAGTGTTGTGTGGCAAAGGTCCAAATTAAAGATGACTTTGAAAAAATATTGAAGTATAGTTGATTTACAGTGTTGTGTTAATTTCTGCTGTACAGCAAAGTGACTCAGTTATATATTTTTTTCATATTCTTTTCCATTCTTATTTATCACAGGATATTGAATATAGTACCCTGTGCTATACAGTAGGACTTGTTTATCCATCCTATGTATGAAAAATTTTAAGTTTAACTTGATGTATTAGGAAAAAGAGTGATTGTAGATTTTAAGCAGTGCAATTATTTGATTTTAAAGGGAGGAGGGAATAGAACTGAGGGAACTTTGTCAATGTTAGACAATGAATTGGAGGAAAACTAGAATCTAAAGTGTTATCATGTTGTCTTGTCAGCCTAAGTATTCCAATTAAGACAACCTGGAATAGAATCCTATTCTATCATACTAGAGTTATAGTCTTTATTGCCTTGTTCTTATTTTAGAGATGGGAAAATGTCTTTAGATGTAAAATTACTTTTCCAAAGTCACATCGACAGAATAGGGTTGGGAGTGAGAGAAAAGATGGAATTCATGCTACCGGCAAGGTGAATGGTAGGAAAACCACTGTATTCGAGTGGTTTAGACCTTTGTTTCCGGCTCTGGGGTCTAAATCCTACAAGTCACTAAGATACACAGACTGTGACTTGTCTTCCTGGTGCCGTGGAGATACGAGAAAAAGTCCTCACAACCAGGTCCAGGCTTTGAGTCCTATCTTTCACAAAGCTCCTCCATTTTTAGAAAGTGGGTGGGTTTTTTCACTTGTTTTTCCATAACAGGCCTTTTCATCTTCTCACGGGCCCAAGAAACCCATCTCAGTAGACTGAAGCCCTGAGTGGAATATTTCTGGTTTAGAGGAGGTGGAAAAATGTTTATAGCCAAAAACGTTTTCCCTAGGAAGCAGGGT